CTTAACAAGAAGTACAGAAGTAATATCAGCTTTAAGTACTTGTAATATTAAAGTGAAAGTACTCAGATTGCAGCATGGCTCTTTTCACAGTATTAGATTATCATTGTACTATCCTGTTTTTATCACTAAGAAATACATTTTAATGTTGTAGGTTGTCAATTTGGAGCCAATTGTATATACTTATAAGTATACTGGGTTGTCGTTTTAAATTGGTAGTACAGTGCTTCATATTAACTTATCACGTGTATCATGTTTTTTTTATATGTCACAAGTAACTAGTAGCCTACTACGAGTGTTACATAAGTGTAGTGAGTAAAAAGTACAATATGTCAGAAATGTATTGGAGCAGAAGTATAAATTAACATAATATACTGTCAGTGAATAATTTGCCCTGCATGTCCTCTGACCTTGGACAGCCGCTATCTCCCTTAAGGAGGGGCTGCCCTAGAATTTTGTTGTTGTTACCAGTTTATGAAAGGGCAACTCTCGGTCAGAGATAGTCATTGTTGTGGGACACCTGGAACACATCCTTCTCTGGAAGTAGATGACCCCGAGCCATAACCGACAACGACAAGTAATTCAGTGTCCCCAGCTGTTTAGTCTATCTATTGAAGAATGTTGATTACCCTCCGCAAACTAGTTAAAACCTCCTACCAGAAGTAGAGTTCGTCATAATTGATTTGGCATCTCTACTCTGTGGTCAACTCGTGGCCCGTGACATGTCTTGTGAATTCTCCGGCTGAAGCTCCAAATAAACCGTCAGTGTTTGCCATCAAAGCTCCAGCTCTCCTCGTGTCTCTCTGAGTCCTGTTTCCAATTGCTTCAGAAGTTTTCCCCACATATACTGTAATACTCAAGTTAAAGGTGGGGTAGGTAATTTCGGAGAAACCAGCTCGAGATCGCTAGAATTTGAAAATACACAACCGGAGAACATCTGCCACTTCCTTACAGAGCCCCTCCTCCAACACACACAAACGCGCACATGACCAATGAGGGCACGAGATACGTTTGTGAAGGCTGACTGGCAGGTAGGCCATCCAGTTATTTTAGCCGGGCCGGCTAACATGATTGGTCGTGCTTTTTACAATACTACGGCTTCCACAGATGACATTTTTTAATGGTTTTTTTGTCAAAGCACTTATATAATATATAGATATTCATTGCTATCGGGATGTTAAGGGCATTCCATGGAATATAACAAAAAGTGTATCTCGAGCCGGTTTCTCAAACTTACCTACCCCACCTTTAAGTACAATAAGGTCAAATAGTACTTAAGTGTGGTACTTGAGTAAACATACATAGTTACTTTCCACCCTTGCAAGAGGTTAATTTAATCTTCATGGGAGCCAATAATACATTAGACACCGTTAACCAGAGGTTTTCTGCACCAAATGATAAACCAAGGGAGCCATGTTAGGGAAATATATGCTTAGAATTGTAATGCCAATGAAACCCTCATCTTATCGTGTCTAGGGAAGTGTGGGAAATGAGAGAGGAGAGGTATAAAAAAGAAAAAGTTTGATTAATGAATAAACTCTTGACTGAGCCTGACTATTGGAAGTGACACATACAGAGGTCTGGGAAGAAAGAGATGTGAAACCAGTGGGTGGGCAGGGATAGAGGAGAGACTGGAGGGTGGTACGCACGGTGAGGCCAAGACTTTCTGTTTGTCCTTCAACCTACAGTCTGTCTGCCAGTAAATCTCTCTGAGAAATGAATCCTTAGCAGGCTATTTTTTCAGCTCCCTGTCTCTATAACACAAAACCTTGACAACACACACATGTGGCCCCATGTTCCTACTCACATATCTTTACACTGTACATGCAGACAAAAGTAACATCCCATCACACGAGCCAACACAGCGACAGCGGCACTATCTTGTCTGGTGTTTGAGAAAATGCAGCCTCTAAAGAGTAAGCAGCTACTCTCAGGCCATTAGTAAAGGAGATAAGAGCCGTACACTCTGTGCCGCACCACTCAGCAGTATCTGCAGTCCTTCTCACAGCTGGAGACAGAAGGTACCAAGCCAACGACAGAAACAAAACATGATGCAATCTGAATTTCAAGCAGGCATTCTTGAGCAGATGAGACACGACCTTTTGAAGTCAACGTTCACCTAAATAATGTCATTGTGTATTCAAACAGAAGGGGAGATATTTCATCAAGATTCCCAGCTTATGAACTCTAATGCATTGTGATGGTGAGGGGAGAGGGATCCCACATGTGGACGGGGCTTTTCACTTTGGATTTGCCAGACCGCAGTCAGCACAGCGGCCTCTTCTTCTGGGAGGATCCACAGGGAAGAGATTCCACTAATTGCTCATTCTACCAAATCAGAGTCAGTGTTAGCGGCTGACAATCACATATGAAAAGATCTTTCCTCCAATATGCCTCATTAAGGGCTGCAACAGTCGATTGTTTTCCACAATTCTTTTTTTTAAATTAATTTTGTTCTGCACAATTAAGTCCAACATACTGTATAAGTACAACAATGTAATTAGTAATTGCCTTCTGTAGTTTTTTATTCAATTTCTGTGTGATTTTTGTGTAAAATTACAATTGTGACCTGCATTTCCCATGAGTATTTAAATTAAAAAGCACCCTTGTGTTAGGTTTAATATTCAGTTTTAGCTTAGTTTACTAATTCAATCATTTTTGTATGTATAGTGAAATATTAAAGATGGAAAAATATATGTATATATGGAAAACAATAAGAGTTAGGTTATTTGCATAATGTAAAATAACAAAACCGGCATTTGTCATCGATATTGAGTCCTATTTCTCTCCATATTCTTACGATGTAGCATTTTATTGTGCAGGCAGTAATCCTCTCAAAATGATTTATTCATCATGTTATATTCAGTCTGCATTTGATTACAGTCTGAGGAAGCTATTTAAATGGATTGTTTGTTTGAGTAACTGACCAAAAATATATTGTTCAATGTGAAGAAAAAAACTGAAACTTTTCTTTGTTCGCCTTTAGAAGATTCATGTTCTGTCTATTGACTAATAATTCATCGATTTATCCTTTTGTGTAGTCAATACTATCACAATCTTTTTACCTGAATATCAAAAGCAGAAAAGATTCGACTAGATTCATGAAATATATGGTAATCCTAATCCAAAAAGTTGCGAAACTGCTGAGATTTGAAAGCATTATTTCCCCTTCAGACTCCTGAACACAGGGACTGTGTGAGGTGCTATATATAGGTGTGCTAGTCTGCAGCTGCAGAGAGAAACTGTCACTAGAGACTTTATATCTGAGGAGCTGGGAGACTTTTCTGTAAAGTAGTCTCGACAGACTTCACACAAATTATTCTGGTTTCATTTGACCAGTTACAGCTATTTTAACTCACCTACTGTATGAGCTCTGTGTTTCAGAGGCCATAATCCCCAGCTATGACTATAGATTTAGGGGGGGGGCAGCAAATAAGCCTTACTCACAACTCCCATTTCGTATTGATTTGCATACAACAAGGGGAGTTCATACTGAGCTAGGGGATCAGTGTGCAACACAAGTGCAAGGAGTCGTTTCTAATTAAACTCACTGGTAAAAAAAGGAGCAATGTTTATCATGGAAAGGTTTAAAAAGTAGCTGCTTTGTGAAAAAAAACATTCGGCAAGGATGAATAGTGAGAATTTGTATCACTGAGAAGAAGAACACAGAGAAGGCTAGTATCTGTTTAGGATGAGTAACACATGCTAGGTGGTATTGGGCTCACTTGGGCAACTCATTGCCTTAAAGTACAAATATGAGTTGTTTATGGGTTGTGATGTTGAGGAAAGCTGACATTTGCACCTCCAGTCAGAAGCCTCGGAGCAGTCCATGTGCATGTGTGTGAGTACAGAAATGTTAGTCAGAGAGAGGGACATGAGAGGGGGAACATTTCCCCGGGTGAGCATTCACAATCAGCATATCCCTTGGGGGCCCATACACACACTTCCTCACTATCACATTGCTCTGAGACGACTATCACAGTCCGATTGACCCCAACTCAGAGAGAGATATGGAGGTGGGAATAACACGTGAAATAAATGAGGAAATATCGATGAAAGGCGGTCTCAAAATACTTCCAAATAGTATGTTCTGTTTGGATATCCACATAGATTATGAGCCAGTAGTTACTTGAACAAATATTTTAGGAAAGGTGGGATATTTTAAACAAAAAGGCCAATCAAATATACATTAGGAAGTTTCTGCAAATCATGTTTTGAAGCTATGAATAAATATAAAATGCATCACATTACTGTAACAGTGGCACTGGTATTCATGCACTGTAGATTCATTTGGTTACATCTGTCTCACTGCCTCTTCAGGCTCTGTTTCTTGCCAGTTGGCAGATCAATAATTTACTTTCAACAATGTCCCTAATGTACCTACAAATCCTATTTATAGACTCCAGCTCCAAATGAGTCTGACAGTACTGTATATAAAAAAACACCAGGAGAGAACAAAGTAAAACAAACCTATACAACTGCAGCATTTGTTTTGATCAGTACTCCTGTCATTATAATAAACTGTATATTTGTATTAGTGTCATATCTGCAAACACATCGGTTAGTCTTCATCCTAAAAACCTTTTCTTTTCATACCCCTCTACTTCCCACATTCCTGTGTGTCTCTACACTAATAAAGGCACTCAAACATTTTACTTGTACCATTAAAGTGACAACACACTGTTTGACCAATTAATCTCCCAACAGTGTGAGATAAGCAGCCAAATGTGGTTATTTTAGAATACTATACTTGCCTGCTCTTACACTGTACTGCAGCACTACCACTCAATAGTTTTACACTGCATTACAAGAACAATCCTAACTCTTCATTTCCATGTCTTCTACTGTACATGTTTTTCACAATTTTCCGTGAGACCTGCAGCTGTAGCCTCAGTCTTTTCGCACCATATCAATGTATGTAGCTATGAATTGCACAATGACTCTTTCACTTACATCAAATGCCAAAAATAACAAACAAAATAGAAGAAGTGTGTAATACTTACAACCATACCGTTTAGGGACACCCAGCAGTCAGGGGGGAAGTCTTGGAGGAGAGGCACCAGATACTGGAGGCAGCCATCCCAGTGACACAGAAGCAGCATCATCCCTATCAAATTAAATATTCTTACCACTGCACTAGCCAGGTCATAGGTCATATGGAAAATCTGCCGGAGAGAAAAGAGAGCTCGGTTAGACCTCTTGAGAATCTTTTGTTTAGTGAAAACGTGCATTGATATTCCGATCATACATCAGGTTAGGCAACACACACACACCACACACACACACACACACACACACACACACACACACACACACACACACACACACACACACACACACACACACACACACACACACACACACACACACACACACACACACACACACACACACACACACACACACACACACACACACACACACACACACACACACACACACACACACACACACACACACACACACACACACACACACACACACACACACACACACACACACACACACACACACACACACACACACACACACACACACACACACACACACACACACACACACATTCATTATCCATTGGAAACATGTATTGGTATTTCCGGTATAACATTTTATTATTCCCTTTAAAAAGATTAAAAAGAGCCCCAAAGTACAAAGTCACCTTTGAAATGGAGGGCATGGTGTGCGTGTTTGGCCACAAGAGAATTACATAGCTACAAGTGCATGTGTGTGAGCTACATAATTCAACATGGCTGCTTTCCAAAACAAACTGACCAGTGGAGGACCTACACACGCAGCACAGAGTCGGTAATGCAGAGCGAGTGAAGTGCATAACACACTGAATGATAAAGGGAGTGCACACATCTGGAATAATCAGCCGGTACGTGTGTTTATATTCTGTGAGCCCGTGTGGATCTTCCATCAGAGCAGGACATTTGAGAATAGAAAGTCATCAGCAGGGTGAATAAGCATTATGCGCAATGTGAGGCGGTTTCATTCACATCCAATCGGGGCGAGGAGAATTGACTCACTGTGGCTGTGGCACTAATTCTCATTAGCATTAGAAACCCATTACCTCTTTCCAGGTTAGTTATTCCATAATCACCGCACACTGAATCCTGCTCAATTTATCCTGCTAAAAAAAGTTAAATATGGAAAAGAAAAAATTGGTGATTGGTGGGTTTTGCATAATAAACCTGCGCCATTTGCTAATTTGCTGAATGGAAGAGTCCAAATAATTAGTACCTATTTTTAAGTTTATTGCTTTCCATTTTCTTTAATTGGCCCATTCTACTTAATTTAAGTGTAATGACAATTTAATTGGCCTCAGGGTATGGGCCCCACACACAATCATGAGGTTCAAATAAATCACACCCAATGAGAAATAGTAAACTTTTTATTTCAAGTGTGTTTTTCTACACTAGTGATAATTGTTTGAACAGAGTATCAAAGTGGTTAATGGAAGACAAATCGATGTCTTGAGGTTATAAATAAACTAAAATGAAAAGACAGGCAAAGAAGGTTGAAGTAACACATTATGTGTATATGTACAGCACATCCAGCATGAAATACTTTACTTGAAATAAGCAGTACTTTCTTGTTTTGAACACAATTTATTCTGTAATATAGCAGGTTTAACTCTAGGTCCATTCCTTGGTCGTACTTGCCTTTTAAGATAAGATATTAGATAAGATGTACTTTATTGATCCCAATTTGGTACATATTATCTTGTATCTTATCTTAAAAGGCAAAAAACATTATTTGTCTCCCCAGTTACATTTTTTCTGGTTTATATACTTCAGAATTTGAAAAAACACTGACCACTTTTGACCAAATTGCGAGGGATACTTACTTCCTCCTCTCATCAATTGCAATCACTCCAGCCAGGACATGGACTTCAAATTGCGCTGACATGTATTCTGGCATAATTTTGATCCTATTTTGCCATCTGTATGCAAAATCTGCCATTAAAACCACCCTAAACCCCAGGTGCTTTTAAAAGCTCTTTGAATCCACATCTCTCCACCCCGGTCTATTGTGGCTGTCCAGTAACCTTTCTGCACAAAGGACAGTGTCCATACAGAGAACAGATGAGAGAACAAGAGGCTGGGCTGATGCTCAGATCCCTCTATGGGGCAACCCATCCACAGGGAGACAGTGCACTGCCCTCACAGGCTAAAATTAGCTGCTAGCTTACAGGATGGCTGTATCAATGCACTCAGTATCTCCTCTGCTGCCTACATCTTTATTCTTAACCTAGCAGAGCTCTCTGTCCCTCTGTTGGGTGTGTGAGTCTTTACATTCATTATAATTATGGGACATAAGAGGAGAGTCCAAGAGGCAAAGGGACGACGAAAACAAAGAGCAAGGCATAATAAAGGCATACAATCTTGGAGGATTGTAACAAGACCGGAAAACAGGAAGTAGCACTTTGGTCCTTCTTTGAATTGCAAATTATTCACAGCAGGCAGAAATAGAAAAAGTGTCGACTGCATGTCTGCACTTTCCTCTTTCAACTAATGCGTAATCGAAAAAACACAACAATAGAGATTTTGAAAAAAGTGGGGCGCAGGCTTTAAGGGAAAGTAAGGTGACGTATGTGAGAAGGTTGCAGAAAGAACCTTGACCTTTGGGTCAAGCTGAGTCACCGAGGGCGGAGAGGAAAGATGTAGAAACTCATTAACGCAATAAAGGATTTATTTTGGATTGTATTTCAGGGGCAGTTTTGAAAAGTCTGCTTGTGGCAGAAGGTTGCCACAAGGTATTACATGTGGTCTATTTATATTATTATTATTATTAAGAGCAGTGGCGAGGGTCAACGGATTATACACAGGAGAACCTTCACTATGTTGTTTGAGGATGAATTGTAAATATTTGAAACAGTGAGATGTTTTAGTGGTTACCACTGTTGACATATTCTCCCCTAGGATAAACACTTTGTCTCCATATAGCAATGTATTGTACAAATTCAAACATGCACATATGGGATAATCTTCCTGAGCGTTTAAAGGTTGCACTGAAGTCACAGAGAGGGTCAAGGCAGTGTGTCTACGCAGCACATCATGTTAATAGAGAATATTAAAATACAGGGCTGCCATTGTTTTGAATAATATTTTAATGTAAGAAGAATAAAACCAAAACATTTCCTTTACTGAAGATGTTTGCGCCAATTTACTAAATCTTTTCAAGTAGAAGAAATGACATCTTAGCAAGCTGTTAGTGATGTACTTGCTACATACACTAAAGCATATTGTCACTGTGACTTTGAACTACATATCCTTGTGTTCTGTGCGGTTTTAAAAGTCTAGCCTGGCTTGTATAATTTGACATCTCTATTGTTCTTGGGGCAGTGTTTTTTAATGTGTACGATTGTGCCTGCGTGTCATGAAGGGGTTCTGTAACCACACACACAGGAGTGGATATATCTCAACAACATCCGTAAAGTTACCAATTGAATAACCAGAACTTTTCTTAGGAAGTGTTTAATTGTGCATGATAACAGGACATAGGTAGCTTTGACTTAGAGCCAAAAGCACAACCAGTACTCTCTGTTGCCAACGCAAGATATGAGCTTTGATTTAAGTGAATAAAGCTTACATTTGACAGGGGGCAGGGGCACAGGTCAGCATAATCCTCGAATATTGGAGCGACAAACAGCCAAGGTTTGATGTGATAGCGGCACAGGGTCACAGGCTGGTCATGTCCCGCCAACACAGGGCTCATTCCCATTTGGCTTGTTCCCATATATTCATCTGTCCAGTATCAACTAGATGGGGATTTGGATATCAATCTGGAAAGTATTGTGTGTTTACATGCACTTCAATAAACAGGGTTTATATGACAGTGGACAGCAGAAGTCACCCCATGTGTTCACAGAAGTGTTCAACAAGTGTCACTTCAACTTTTAAAGTGTTCACTCCACTGCTATCTGTCAGGTTCATGTATGTGCGGTCGGCTGTCTGACTTTTTGAATCTGTTGTGAGCATGCAGGAGAATTACTCATCGTCAAGCTGTGGGACACGCAATTACAAAGTGTTCTTTATGCATCTTCAAATTGGACACGAGTGACCTCTGTTTGAGGTTAGCGAGGATTAACGAGGGACTAATTTGAGGGGATTAAAGCCACCACTGGCTATTACATTGAAGGCTGGAGAAACAGCTTCCAGGAAAATCTGGTATTCTCCCGCTTAACATCAACTTGTAAATCTCCTTTTTGGATCTCCCTTGATGTTGCTTAATCACAAAATTAAGGCTGGACTTGGATTTAAAAAAGTCATATTATCATGTTATGCTGGATTTAGCAAGTCTCATGTTTTCCTCAAGCAACAAAAAGAAGACAATGTTTGCCTAAGCAGATAAAACCTGGATATGAATTATTTGATTTACACTGGTAAACAACTTCAGTGCAATTCTGCCCCAAAAGAAATGCAGTTTGCTGGAAGAAATTACAATTTACTTCTCTGTAATGCACTTTGCGCTATCATGTTGATATATAATATCAGTAATGAATGAACATAAATAGTGTCGGCATTATTTTAGTGCTTCAGGCAGCATACAGTACGCTCTGAGAAGCTCATCAACCTGCAACTATGTCTACAATGCAAACTAGTATAGAGCAGACGGCACGAGAAGATGGAGAATCATTTCAGCGGTGTTATAAATGAACTCGGATCTCTCCAAGGCGGGTTATTGTTACTCTAAATAAAAAGCGGTGGATGTGCAGCAGCACATTTAGGTAATGAGGCCCAACAGTAATACATAGACAGAGACTTAATTAAAAGGCAGGTGGCGATCAATGGGGTCTTTACACAGGCAGCAATCAAGTAGTGATATATTAATGTTACACAGGGAACTCTGGAAAGAACTGGCCATTGTTTGTCCTCCACGATACGCTCAGTAAAGCATGAATGAGTGCTAGTAAGTACTTAATGGAAGAACATCATTTTTACCAGTAAATATATACTATGGAAGAAAAAGTCGTTATGCTGAATGGCCTCTTTCAGGGTCTAATATTATAATACAAGTTGTATATTATTAGATTATAAATATAGATGCAATCATGTGTAACCATCGTCTCTAGATGTATTAGCTGGTCAAGCTTGAGCTTATTTTAACTTCTTCATTTACTGCTGGATAGAATATTTTTCATTTCATTTAATTTCAAGCC